CTTATCTAATCGGACCTACCTCGGCGACGTCGCCGTCCACGAGGCCGCGCAAGACGGCAACACTTCAGCAGTCCTCCGCCGAATGGTGCGTGGACCAGTTTCTGGCGTTCGAGGCTTCACCTTGCATTGCCCGATCGGTCGGCCAACTGAGCAACGGGTCCCCGTTGCCGTCTACAAGGCTCACGACGCGCCGACTCCTGCGTAACCCCTCAGCCGACTAGCAGCCGACAGTTGCCAGCGGCATGTCTGATGAGCCGTCCAAGACCCTGGAAGCCGGCCTTTTGCCCTGCCGCGCAAGCGAGCTGCCTCACGGCCATGGCGTCAGGGCTTTAGCGAGGTTGCGCCGTGTGTTGTGTCACTCACTGGTCGCTGCCGCCGACATCGTTCCATGCTGTCCGAAGCGATCAGTCTCGCACGAACCCGGAGGAGACACTGAGGTCCGCAAGGCACCGTGGCGTTGGACCCTGATGGAGTATCGTTGGCTCAGCCGTCGCGCGTAGCTTGCTTCTGTTGCATCCATCATGTTGTATCAGTTGCGGCGAACGGCTTCGAGGGCTAGTTCCATCCAAGCGCAGGGTGCACTATCGGGTCCGACGAGCCGGCGACTCCCTTCTGCGAAGCCACATCATCTTCTTGGGCATTTTCAGACGTCATCGGATGTCCACCTCGGGGAAGACAACCGACTGCAGCCACGGATCGATTGTGAACCGTCTCGGTGCCGAAATATGCCCGCACGAGCATCGCCTGTGCTGTGGACTCTGTGCTTCGTGCGCCGCGTCTGATCCTTGAGCCACAACACAACAAGGACACCTTGAGGCCACTTTCGCACACCTTCCCGTTCGGTGCCTGTTGTCTCTCGGCCATTGGACACCTCCCCTGGATGGTTGCCCTATTGTCGCCGACGACGTGGGCACGGCCACGGGATGGCGTCACACGGCTGTGTCAGCGTAGAAGCCTTCCCTCGTGTCCAGTTCCCCAGGCACACACGTGCGGCCGCGCGCTTTAGCCCGCCGTGCCACCGTTGCGTCAACTGGTACAATACTGTAGGTTCTGCATGCACGGCTGGGCTTTGTGAATTGGCGCGGGACGTGGACGCCGAGTGGTCATCTACTACGGTACTGGACAGTGTATCGTACCCAAGATACACCGACCGCATGTTGATCTGACACGGACGCGAATCCGTTGTCCTGCGTGACCGGACCTTGGGGGCTGTCATCGGCAGCCGCAATCCCCCACTTCTGGTGCAGCTCTTCTTGGAGGATTGGTGGGATAAGTCCCCCTATTGAGCAGTCCACATGTGCGCTGGCTGCTGTCTACCGTCTACCGTCTTGGCGCGCAGCACGCGTCTTGCGCTTCCGTCCTCCTACAATGTGCAATCTGAGGCGTGCAACGAAATGGCACAAGTATGCCTTGCATGCTCCAAACGCGTCCCAAGCACGTGGATGGACGCAGACGTCCAACGGCATGATCATGTCCGAGATAAGCCCCATCCCCGACAGCTCTCTTTCGCCCAAGGCGATGCCCTATCGGCCCGGGCACGGCCGCCGTTTTGGATCCGGCAGTTTCCGCTAACCAATACCGTGCCCATGGCCCTTATTCGCGTGATTGGGTTCCCCTCGGCCCGTCAATGATATGGCTCCCTATGTGTTTGGAGCTACTGTACATTACTGTACAGTACTGTACTGAGCAAGTAAACAAGGCGGCGGAAAGACAAACCCCAACAGCCTCCAGCCTCAAAGTCAACCCGGCCGGCCGTGGCTCGCAGCGCAAGTATAAGAATCTCAATTCTGCCACATTGTAGCCTAGAAAGTGCCATCATCCCTCGTCACAGTCCTTGCTCCTACTTCTTGGGCCCGGTGCTCGAAGCAAAAGACAGGCAACGCCTCCCGCCTGATCTCCTGACACAAGTCGAATATCCGTGGTAACGATGCTTTCTACTCTTGCCAAAACACTGGCAGTGCTGGTCTCCCTCCAGACCACACTAGGCCTCGCCACGCCAGTGGCTCCCTCCGACTCGGCTGTCGAAAAGCGAGCTAGCGGCTATGTCAACGCTGTCTACTTCACTAACTGGTATGCCCACGCGTACATCGAGAGAACGACTGCGATGACAATGGATGGTGCTGACCACTGGGTAGGGGCATTTATGGCCGTGGCTACCAGCCCGCGGACCTTCCTGCATCTCAGATCTCGCATGTTCTCTATTCATTCATGAATGTCCAAGCCGACGGCACCGTGTACGTACCACACGTCGATTCCAAGTGTGGTTGACTTAAACTTACCACCTCTCCAGCGTCTCTGGTGATACTTATGCCGACCTCGAGAAGCACTACCCAGGAGACTGTAAGCCACAGCAGCCCCTTCCCCCCTTTTCTGCAAGATTCAAGCTCTAACGATAATTCGTCTCCTAGCTTGGAATGACCAAGGCAAGAATGTCTACGGCTGCGTCAAGCAGCTTTATCTCCTGAAGAAGGCGAACCGGCACTTGAAGGTGATGCTTTCCATCGGCGGCTGGACCTGGTCTACCAACTTCCCGTCTGCCTCCTCCTCGGACTCGTCACGTTCCAACTTTGCCCGGACTGCAGTCAACTTCGTCAAGGATTGGGGCTTTGACGGCATTGACATTGATTGGGAGTACCCGGCCAACGACAACGAGGCTCGCAACATGGTCGCGCTGCTCCAAGCCGTGCGCAACGAACTCGATTCCTACGCCGCTCGGGCGGCCAATGGCCACCACTTTGAGCTCTCCATTGCCGCCCCCGCCGGGCCCAAGAACTACGAAAAGCTCTACTTCAAGGACATTGGCAATCTGGTCGACCACGTCAACCTCATGGCATATGATTATGCCGGCTCTTGGGACAACACTACCGGCCATGCGGCAAACATTTACGCCAACCCGCAGAACTCGGTCGCCACTAAATTCAACACGGATCAAGCTGTCAACGCCTACATTGGGGGCGGTGTCCCCGCGAGCAAGATGGTTCTCGGCATGCCCCTCTACGGCCGGTCATTCGAGTCGACTACTGGGCTCGGCGCGTCCTACAGCGGCGTCGGTGCTGGAAGCTTCGAGAACGGCATCTGGGACTATAAGGTGCTTCCCAAGGCGGGCGCCACTATGCAGTACGACAGCGTCGCCAAGGCCTCCTATAGCTACGACTCGGGCAGCCGCGAGCTCATCTCGTTTGACACTCCCGATATGATCAAGGAGAAGGTCTCGTACCTCAAGGACAAGGGCATGGGAGGCAGCATGTTCTGGGAGGCGTCGGGTGACCGCAAGGACGGCAGCTCGCTGATCGCCACCAGCATCAACGCCCTTGGCGGCCTCGATTCGACGGAGAACTGGCTCAGCTACCCTGAGTCGCAGTACGACAACATGAAGAAGGGCATGTAAGGTGGCGCGTAGTGAGCAGAACGCGAACAAAAGGCAAACGGCAGTTGCCGTTTGCCTTGCTCAAGTTCGGGTCTGGCAATATGTTGCTGGGTGATGACTCTTGACTGCCTGGTCGGCCTTGGCTGGGACCGCGCAAACCCAATATTCAATATTCGTGTACATACAGAGTTTGATTTAGACGTACATGACCTGGAAACCGTACATTGATACATGAGCCGCTGAGGCGAGACTGCACTTTCACCGGCGTCTCCACTCGTCCCCTACGTCTGTCAACTACCTGCCTCAGGAACATGCCTACCTAGATGAGGTACTGACTGCGAGGAGGGGATTGCCCGCCTAAGCATCGGAGTGCCCTCGAGCGTCGCAAAGTGACGGCTGGTCGCAGCTGCGGCACATCAATTGCAAGAAGCTGGATGCTTTTGTCCATCCCTTGGTACGTGCCATGGCGGTCTTTCCTGCCGAATCGAGTACCGTCAATCATGTGCAACTCTCCTTCCAGGTTTCGACACGGTGTCTCCCAGCGCAAGCCTCCTCCAGTCATCAACATGATTCTCCCATCTACCTTGCCACTTCTTCCACCTCAAGTAGGCGGCATGACTTGCTCACCTACCTGACCAATTTGGAGTCACCTACCCTGTCTATACTTACGGCCCTGCAACCTTCTCTAGCTTCGTGTACAGCTGCAATTTTGCAGCTGTACCTGACCGAAAGACCAACCCGCCCACCCTTTCCGGCATTCGACAGACCGCAAATTGTTCTCGGTGGTAACAAGACGTCGACCCCT